AATGTCAGATACTGCCAAAATTTGTCATGTCAGGAGAGCTGTTCTGTGTGCAATAGCCTTCAGAGGTGCCCATCCAAGGCAGGGTTCAGGACTCAGACTCTCTGGAAAAAGATACAAAATTTCTGCAGAACAGGTTGAAGCGTCTCCCCTTGTCTGGCAGCTCTGCACAGCACTCAGCAGGCTCAGAGATGGGGATCAGCAGTCATGGGAGACTGTCAGACCGGCAGCAGCATCGCACAGCACTTCCCAGCTTTCGCACCCCACCATCCCTTGGACAGCAGTGCGTCCTGCACAGACTGCAAACAGATTTCCTGGCAGCTGTCAGGTCCCACCTGGACATGTTCTGCTGGAGCCAAAAAGCCCTCTCAGGTCAGGATGCTTGTTGTCTGCCTTCCTTGGGCCTTCGCCTCTAAGCTCATACTCCTCAAGATGCCCCTGGAGGTCCCCAATCACACACTTAGATCTGATTAAAGATACACTTAAACAATGCATGCTCTTGTAGAGATCACCCCAGAAGATCCCATCCAGTCCTGATCCTGGTGGGTGTTTTTGCTGCCCCAGGACCAGCAGTGCCATGACACAATGCTACTGCTCCCTGGTCCCTCTATCCCTTCCATCTCCATTGTGAAAATAATCTGCTGCACAATTAAAATCCCTGTGGAAAAAAGGTCTCAGGTTGATGCCTTCTCAGAGGAGCTCTTTAGCAAACAGGACAGACAGCTTGTTAGGTAGACATACACACAGAGATAATTTGGATAATTAATTACCAACCATGACCTGTCCACTTTTGAAATGAAACTATTGATCAGGTGATCATTCCCCTGTCTCAGTTTCTCTGTGACAATACAGATTACCTCAGGTTTTTTGTCATTGCAGAATGGAGATTTCAGATTGCGTGAGTTTTGCAGCTCCACACCCAAAGTGGTCTGAGGCTTTCTTTGTAACTACCACCCCATTGGCGTACCAGCAATGACTTTCCTGCACAACTAAGGGAAAGTACTTTGGAAATTATAAACGGGCTTTTGCGAGGCTGTGGTTTACTTTATATTGATCTGCAGCCTCTTCTCCTCACTGCAGCAGTTAACATGTCCTAAGAATGCTGAATTGCTCTTAATGAGAACATGGTTATGCTGCTGCAGACTAATTTCACCATCCTTCAGTTTTATAGCTAGCAGATTTATGTAGTTGGTTTTTTTTTTCTTTTTCCTTTTCCAGGCTGAAGGTTGCCTGAAGAAGAGTCTGAAAATGTCAGTATTAATAAATACAGCAGCAGAAAATCAGCGACACCAACCTGTAATCCTGAAGAAGTATTAGCAAGACCATGAAAAGCATCCCCTGATGGACCTGAGAGCTTCAGCAGCAGTCCTGCCAGGCAGGATAGGAAAGTTTTGTGCCATTTCAGTCCCAGATCTCAGCCCTGCCTCCTGCTCCAGTGAAGTTCTGTGCCATTCTCAGCCAAGCCAGACCAACATGGAGGTACAGCCCTGTCCCCCAACATTGTATAAGCACAGCCCATACAATGAGCATCCACAGTCTGAGGAGAACCACGCCCAAGCCTGGTGTCTTCCTCCGTGCCCCAGTAGGCACTGCAGCCAGGAGAACGCGCAGGGCTTGGGTAGCTAAGCCCCCAGCTCTTCACTCAGAGTCCACTTCACAGGAGTCCATTATTTTCATTTTTCAAACAGAACTTCCACGTGATCTCCAAGATTAAATAAAATGAAAAACAGAGAGAGGAACAAACAATGCTTTTTTCTTTTTTTTTTTTTTTTTTCCAGGAGGTACATGAGTAGCAGTGTTTAGAAACAGGCCAGCAAAACAGAGATGCTGATGCTCAGCAGTAGCTCTGTAACACCATTCCACAGCACCATCTCTGCCCATGCTGTCCACTCTGCTCCTCTGGTCTTGCTTCCCCCACTGGCTCAGCAGAACAGACACACACTTCTACTTGCACACCTTAATACAAGAATGAGCCCAGGCAAGCAGGAAAACTGGTGAGATTTGAGCAGCCTGCCTTGGTCAAAGGGAGATACTCTTTTAGGATTAGTAGGGTGCCAGAAAGAGAAAAGCACAGGTGATGGGTTTTATTGGAGCACATCCAAAAAGGAACTAGACAGAAATGACTGGAATGCCAGTGTCTGATTATAGCTTTGGAGTTTGTATATTTAGGGATATTTACTGGACAAGACAGCTTTGCCTGTGATAGCTTTGCACAGCTTGCCTTATTTTTGGACAAATCTGAGTGAAAGTGTTAGTTGCTCATACAGTCAGATTTTCCAAAGCAGTGGGGGAAGCACAATTTTGCAGGATATAGGCATCAGATCCAATTCATAGTCTTTATTCACTCACTGCCTAGACAGAGGAGATTGAATTTGTCCTGTAATTAATATATACTTCAGGTACTACCAATAACCTTCTTCTGTGGTTTGCCTTTGTTTTTTGGGTATAACACACAAGTTTTTTTTTCACATTGCTTTTGTTCAATTTACGCAAACTAATTCTCCTCCTGGATGCAGTCCCTGCTCTTTTTGAAACATGTTTTTCCTGCATTTACAGATTTCACTTCCTTTTTCTACCTATGTGTTATGTATTTTTAAGTAACAGAATCAAAGGGAATATTTAGGAATTTACCCAAACAAAGTAATTGTCACAGGCACCTGCAAGAGAATTTGAATCATTTAGGCAATCTAATCTAAAAAGGAAAAATTCCACTCTGTGCTGTGCCAAGGTGCCAGAACATCACACCTGTTCTGTAAGAGCCTTCACATTTTTGTTCTGTACTTGCCCTGAAACACCTCACAATGCAGGAAGATACCTACTTGCAGGGGAACTATAAAGGAGGGGAAGCAAGTTGCTTACACGTTTGAAAGCCTGTATTAATAAAGACATTCTTTAGAGCGTAACTGAGGCCTTGCCACTGCTGGGTGAATGACTTGGATAGTAGATGATTGTCTCCTGCTCCTTCTCGACTTCATTCACAGCCTTGTAGCCTTTGCCGTCCTTTCTGCAAAGTAAGATGTTTCCCCTCAAGCAGCTCCCTCACCCAGCTCACCCAGCAGTGTGGCAGGTGTTTCCCTGGGACAAGCAAGGTATGAATCTTCCTGGGCAGGATTAGGAACTGAACCTTCACAAAAACTCTCCCTGATGAGTTAATACAGGGGAAGAAGCATCACCACGACTTTTCAAAGGAGCTGGGGCTGTGCCACATCTGTGCTGAAAAAAGCACAAAACTACATATCGAGACCCTTCTGCAGTCACGTGGATGGACACCGGCTCGTGAATTTCACAAAGGCATAGGTTTGAGACTAACACTGCACCAAAGCCAGCATTTCTCACCCTGTGTAACAGCAGCAGGGTCAGTGTCCAAAAGCATTGTAGCAGCTGCATTCTAATCATCTATCACAGCTTTACACAAATTTAAGTTTTTCTCTGGATTGCATGCTCAAGGGACAGCTTTAAGAACAAGGAAATAGAAATTCTAGTTTTAAGACTCTACTGCTCCCCCAAATAAGTAGTGTTCTGCTTGCTTTTGCAAACTATTACAGCAAATACAACAGATAAAATGGAATTATTATGGGAGGCATATGGAGAACTCACTGGCCTCCAGGGCAAGAGTTTCGTCCATGCTCTCACTTCTTCTATGTATGTACATATACATGTGAATCAGGTCAGGAAGTTTTCACAACACAAACACAATAGCTACTTTTACCTTTTATGGAGCCTCTAAATCTGATGTTATGTAAACATATACAGAAAACTAATTTCTTCCCCACCCTGGCATTTCCTGAAGTTCTTCTCTTAAAAGCTGCCACACATCCTGTGGTGTAGGTATATCCAGAGCTGACCCCTGGTGTACAGCAGCAGATGGATATGGGCAGAAAAGGCTGTGCACCACAGAAATGATGTCCTGGCTGTGTTATCTCCCAACTATTCGTGACCCTCAAACTTCCCCGCTGGTGGGGTGGGATGAGGAGCAGAAAAGGCCTTGTCTCTGTGAGAGCACTGCTCAGCAATAAGGGAGACATCCTCATATTATCAACACTATGTTCATCCCAAATGAAAAAGCAGAGTCCCATATTAGCTACTATGAAGAAAATTAACTCTCTCCTAGCCCAAACCAGCACAATAGGAAAACAGAATTTACACAAGATACCACAAAATTGCTCAGATATGCCTGTAAACAAATTTCTCGTCTTGTCAGAGAAAACTTAACTTTCCACATTTGTATGACTTGCTTTCAAGGTTGCAATACTGGTGTATCATCTCAGTGGTTTGGGCACTTACCTGGTAGCCCCCTTTACAGGGGTGAGAGACTGTTGCATTTTGACCACACATATAAATTACTGAAGTGTTTCATTTCAGAGCAAATCATCAGGGTTTTTTTATGACACTAAACATTTTTCTTCACATTTATCAACCCGTTCTCTGATGATACTGAAAATTATTCTATGACATATTTACTCATGACCTTATGACAGGAACGGAAGGACAACCCCACTATCCACAGACAAGCATTTTTATCCCTTTGCAATCATGTACTTTATTATCCACTAGGTGGTTAATGGAATTTGTCTTCATGTGTCATCTAATACTATTTTCAGAGAGCAGCCACACGCTAACATCAGTGATTAACATCTCAAATGTGATCAGTTCTACAGCAGTTTTAATCAAAAGGTAAAAGAAATCACTTCTCTAAGGACTACATATGCGGTCCATTATTTAACTTGATTGAAAAACAAGTCATTTTGAAAATGAATGTGATAATTATGCTTGAGATTGACCCAACAGAGACATCAGCGAGAGGAGAGAACATGGAGAATTCAGCTGTTAGCTGAGTTTCGAGCTTCATTATTTCTGTTTATCAAATCCATCCAAATTCAACCAAGACCTTGATGTTTCGAGTGTGCTGAGGTGTGACATGCTGGTGTGAACACGAGCTAATCTCTTATTGCTCCTAATGGCAGGACAGAACACCATGAAAAATGGCAACAATAGACAAAACCTGAGATTTTACATCTTTATTGTTTTGCAAATACATAGAAGGATTTTGATGTTTAACTTGCAGAGTTTACAGTACAACTACATTTTCTAGAATATTCCCCCCCCCTTTTTTTTTTTCTTTTTTTCAAGGACAAAAATCAATAAAATGTAAAGTGAAATAAGTCCAATGTGATAATACAGTAGAATCATCATCTTCTTCTGGACAAAGAGTATCAACTGTCCTTGTCTTGTGAAGTGCTGTCAAGCAGGGAATGATTTCAGTGATGTCCCAATAAACCTTCATCCCTGCAACACTAATCACTGCAACTTTTGCTCAGAGTATGCCTTACCTATGAGCCACACTTGTGTTCACAGAGAGGGAAATGCTTAGGAGTGCTTTAATTTCTAATCCTGCTTGACAAGTGAGTTAAAAAAGTGGATTTGGAGCTTGTTGTAATTAGCTTGTGCGGACACATGACATTTTCATAACAATACCAATATTCTAGCACATCTATTGTCCTCAAGATAAAAAAATTGCATTGTGACATCCATACCTTGTTTCCTGTTGCTACAGCATCACTGCTATATATGGAGAGAGCCTGTTCTCCTTTTATCCCCAATTTTCAGCACCATATACTTCTTCTCTCTCGCATTAACACTGATACATATAAGACACACAGCTCAAATGTACAGCACGTATGGCAGTCTACAAGTATTCTTCTCCACTATTGATCAAGTGATCAAGCTGAAGAGGAAAAGATAACCTCTTGCACAGACAGACCTTAGCTTCTCATTCCTCACAACATCCCTGTGAGGTAGGAAATTAAAACATCCCCTTTTCCAGCAACAGGAGACAAGGCAGAGAACACAGCAGACGTTCCACAAGGCAGTAGGTGGAAAACCACAAAAGCTGAAAATAAGGAGTTCTTGGCTCCTAATTCTTTGATTCAGAAACCAAGGTATTGAACTCCCAGACATTACCAGGTCATTAGTCTTTTTACAGCCATATGTTAAGAACAACAATGGCTTCTGTGCGTGTGCCAGCAAAGCATAGTTCTAGGCAGAAGCAGAGTACACCTGATCCTGCCCTCAGACACTTCTCCTTTACAGATGTCAGTAAATGTTCACTGTAATTAACTAATCAGTCCTACTGCTACTGTAGCAATAGATCAACATTTCATGTATAGATTTCTTAAAGACCTGTTCACATCTATTTAAATGTTTGCGTTCTTTGGGGGTTTTTTTGTTTTGTTTTGGGTTTTTTTTTGTTATTTTTCCCCTCTGAATAAGTTAATAGTAACTCCCTTCCCCTGTATAACAGTTTTTATACTCCTCCCCTAAAAGCAGTATCCATTCTGAGTACTACCTGTGAGAACTTTGAATGAAACACTTTCAGGGATGACACCTATCCCCTCAGAGTAGCTCTTTACCCATCTCTGGCCCTGAAGGCAAAGATAGGCACCTTTTGCTGTGTACAGAACCACAAGGGTCTGTACACAGAAGAACTGCCACTGAACTGTCTGTATGGATTGGGGAAGAGGCCTCTGGGCTGCTCTATCCAAAAGCAAAACTGTTTAGACTGAGCTAAAATAGTCAGGCTTTGTTATATACAGATTTTTAATCTGTAAAACCTCTGTAAGCAGAACTTCAGTCCACCCCCACAGCAACAGAAATGGCCAAAGTTTTAAGAAAATAACTTGTTTGGAATGAGAAACACAGGAAATACACCCAAATAGGGAAAACATGAAAATTAACATGCTGGGTTAAGGTATACTGGAACACTCTGATAAATGTAGTTTCAAGTCTTCAATGCAAATTACCTATCAACCTTATCACTAGTGTATGTTAATCATGGCATTAGCACTACAACATAAGTCTTTCCCATGGGCTCAGTGTCAGGTCTTTCCTACAAATTCAGGCTGTATGAGAGCCTACCACCCATTAGAAGCCACAAGTTCAAGTCATACAGATTGGTACTATGGGAGCACTTTTGTACTGGCATAACGGTGTTTACAAAGGCATTTTGTTTATTTCTTTCTGGGATGAAGTATAACCTGTTACGGTATTGACAAGAGTTTATCAAAGAATTGTTTGGGGTAAGTGTACCTATACAAAATAATATCTCCAATCGAAACAGCTTTACTGCTATAAAACCTGTCTGTGGATCAAGGCAAATGCTGTAACTGTTCCATGAAAACGAACTATTTCTTATTTTAGAATGGGAAAATGCAGCACAAAGGCTAGTACAGGAGCTAAATGTTGCAAGATCTTACTATCTGATTTCGGAGAAATGTTTTATATTCCTTACACAACTCACACTGATTATGGTGAACTGCTCATTCACCAGTATTAGAATGCCCTTCTATATCATGTCCCAACACTCCTTATTACATGTATGATAGGCATTATGTACACTTTGTGTATCTACATTTTACATGCTTTTCAGTCACTTAATATGCTCCAGTCCTGATGTCAAACATTATATCAGGAATTATTTTAACTGAAGTGTTTTAAGTGCTCCTATTTATACAAATGACAGAAATGACAGAAACCATTATACTTGGAGAGAACACTGTATTTTAGTAAATGTTGATTTCCAGTCAGTTCATGCTCTGTATAATAAAGACATATTGTGCTGATTTGGTATGTGAGATCCAATGCTACCACATCACCTATTTGCAAAAATAACAAAATATAATTTTGTAATTAACAACAGGGAAAAGACGACCTTCACCAAATAGTGGAATCATTCTGAGATAATGTCTTTTCATTTTGATTGTCTAATGGTGTTTATTCTAGTTATTATAAGTTTGAGTTCCAAACTCTTTACATTTTGCCTTGATTCGGAAGTGGTGCAGATTTACTGCTTTTACTCCTAACTATCTGTATTCCCTTCATAAGAATCTTCAAAGTGTCCACTTTCTCTTCCCCTGTGTAACACTGGAAGGACAGACCTCACTCCAGAAACAATATTCATTTGCCTTTGACTGGGATCTGGGGAGAAGCATTACATCTGGAGAATAAGAATAGTTAATGAGGGAAATTGTGCAGCCACCAGTTGTCTGCATGGGGACAAAGCCTTTTTAATGTTCCTCCTTCATACCAGCCCCATTCTGGTTTGTATGATCGAAATATAAAGGGTCACAGTTGGACTTTGGGAAGTGTAGGTTTCACAACTGTGGAAGCAGCACATACATTTAGGTCCCAGTTATTTCCACCAGTGTAAATAGTTTTATCACAGACTGATTAAAAGGTTCAGGAAAAGGGAAGTCCATATTCCTGATGTCTCTCTACAGATATGTATAGTTGTTATAGATGACTCCACAAAAAACCCCCCCACACCTTTACAGGAGAATGGACATGATAAGTGCCACAGTTACAGAGCAACAGATATCCGGAAACACAGAGGCAATCATTAAGTTTTGCATGGTTGTTTTCTAATTCTGTGTAAAAAACATAATATTTGGCAGACAGAATACAAGGCTTTTTTTTTTTTTTTTTTTACAATCATCATTAACATTTTAGTATAACAGGATTCAAAACTTAGGGAATATATTCACCCTTCAATTAAAATTGGTAATGTTATGAAAGCAGAATACAATTTAGGCTTATAGTCAAAGCCTGAGCTTAACTATCTGGAAACTACTTACAAAGCCCTTAGAAAAGAAGAAAAGAGAAAAAAAAAGTAGAACTGCAAAACAGTCACCGATTTCTCCCATTTGGAAACAAGCCTTCTGGAAAGTTAAGTTCAGCCTGTATTTCACATTTAAATCTGCCTCATTGGTATTAATTTCGGTGAAACCTGGCAGAAAGAAGGGAAAAAAACACAGCAGTTGGCATACAGATAAGATATAGCAGTACAACCCACCATTGACTTCCACCTTTATCAACTATGTACCACTGAAGACTAGAGACACTGTATTTACTTAAACTGAAGTATGTGCAGTACTTCAGAGATAAACACTCCCACAAATAAATTTTCTGATGCAAGAATACAACTGATGTGTGGTGCCAGCATCCAGCCTCCCAACTTCATTTATTTTGAGATGGGTTACTGATGTAAGAATATAAGCAGATTAAACCTGGGCAGCTGAACCTGTACTTGCCTCCCTGCAGTGTCTTCTCAGGTGGCTTCCAATGCCATAAACCAGTAGGAGAGTTCAATGCAGACGGACAGTGTTTGATGATGATATAGTACAATACTTCTAATTGTTCCTATTTTTAAAAATTTTCCTTCTTCCATTCACAATTTTGTTTCATTGATAATTGCATAGTTTAATAACTTTAATTTTACTTTTTAAAAAAACCTTGCCTTTCCATGCACATTAATTTTTATGTGAGGACACATTTATGTATTCTACTCTTCTAATTCCATATACTCACAAAAATCAATTAGTGATACCATAAGATGTACAGCAAACCAAGAATAAAACACAGTAAGCCTAAAGAGGAAGCTGGAGAAGGAAAGAAGGTATAAATAGGAACAGTACAGAGAAGACTTTTCAGAGTATCGGTGGTTAACATTTGGTTGAACTCTGACCACAGGTCTACAGAAATACCGCATGGAATAGGGCTCCACAGAAGATCCATGCCCCTTTAATTATCTCCTGTTCCCAGCCCTATTTAAATAGGTGCCCCAGGATGAAGATCAAAAATAACTCATGTGACCTTAACTTATCCAGGATGAAAAACAGTTCCATGGACAATCTATCTCCTAGTTGATTAACGTATCCCATGGAAACCTCACCTATTGTATCCTTCTGCCTCCTTAACCCATCATTTTCAGTTAAAAGTACTGAAGAAGCTAACTCATTAAAGAATGATATATAAGTGCCTTTTCAAGCATTAAAGCCTCTTTCTTTTAGAAGTACAGGGTTGTATTTTCTATACCAGTTATTTCTATGCTACCTTCCCCCCAGCCAGTATGTATCATCATTTATTACCTTACGAGAGCAGCCACTGAGGAAAGCTTAGTTCATGAAGAACGTGTTTACGTATCAAATGCTAATGAAATGTTTTCAATGGATGGCAACCATTTATTGATTTTTTCAAAGTTGTGTGTGAACTAGGATAATAAAGAGATCTAATAGGTATAAGTGTAGAGGAGAAACTCCCTGAGTGCATCAACATTCCTGGATTTGTTCCAGAAATGTTTTAACATTTCAGAGTGCAAGTTCCGATGTGCCTTGCTTAATTTGGGCCTATTTCTGCCTCCACCAGGGATGGTTCCATTGAGGAAAAGGTGAAAGCTGGAGGATGAATATAGAACTACTAAGAACTGTATTCTGCAAAGGACAAAAGGCAACTACCGAAGGAGATTATTGTTTTTCTAATGTTGTAGATTTTGCTGCCATCAAAACACCAAGCGTTTCACATTTGATGAGTATATTACATTAAAGGTAACGTCTGCACATCTGATGCTACCAACTGTCATTTGTATTTACGACACTCTGCTTCAGAAGGGGTCTGGGGGCCATGGGTGTGATGTGCCACAATGCCTGCTGATGGTAATGGAGGTGGTGAGAGCCCACCGTAAAGAACTGGACCCAAACTGGACCCAAATCATTTGTCTACATAAAATGTGATTAAATAAGCAGAAAAATGCAAGTGGAACAAAAGTTTTTGCTTAGAAATCAAATCTGAAATGCAGAAAGCCTCCTGAGTCCACTGCTTTAAATCGTGGTACTGCAGTCAATTCAGTGTCACCCTGGGCTAAGAGCACAGCATTTTGTAAGGACTGCAGGTCCTTAATGTAGCCTATTTCACAGTGCACAGACTCAAGAGTCGCTACTTTCTCACAGAACCTTCTAAGCAACACATTCTTAATATTATTTCACTTATGGGAAGAACGTCTTATCTTGGAAGCTTGAAAATACTTTGCTAATGATGAACAGGAGAAGTTTGCCTGGCAGCCTGGTACATGGCATTTAAACTGGTAAGAAGACATTACCTCACAGATTCCCTGCAATTCCAGCCTGTTGACTCTCTGATTTCCAAATCCTAACTATACTTTTCAGCTACACAAACAGCCCTATGCTAATTTAATTGTTTTTCTATATAGCAAGGTGCTCTTTCGGGGCCTGATTCTGAATAATGCTGAGTTTTAATAAGTTGGTAATCTCAAGCAGTGTGAAAAAGCAAGTTATTGTTCCAAAAGTAAAAAGAGACCCTAAAAAAAAAGTTAACACATTTGTTAAATTAAAAGTTGCTTACTTTGTTAAATTCTTAAAACTTGTTTCTCTTTACTCCTATCTTTTACTTAATTTCAGATAAAATCAAACCACAATTCCATCATCATATACACGTATATATGTACACATGATAAAAAAGTCAAAAAAGACAACATCCACTTAAAAATCAACCCAATCCTGCAAAACCTCAAAAGAAAATCTTTCTCGAAGGAAAATGTACTTCCAGAAAATAAAACCAATACCCTGTACCATTTTGTACTCGATTGGACAATCACTTTCTTTTTAAACATAAAATGATTTATTTTTAAATATTCTTTTTAAACATTTCTATTTAAGCATCTGCCTTGGCAGATGCTTCTCCTATACTCCACGTTATCTTTCAAGAACATTTTGTAAATCTCATGTTTTACATTAAGGAAAAAAAAGGCGGGGGGGAGGGGGGATTTTAGACTTATCCTGATTATTTTTATAATGAAATACATCTGCAAAAGTATGTTCTGTCATGGTCTCCTCAATGGTATAAGCCAGTACAAGCCCAAACAGATTGCCTGCCAAGGTGATCTATATGCTAGGCTACAGCAAATCTGATTTAAGCATGCAACATAAGCCAACATTTTGTCTTCACAGCACAGTAAAATTGAGGGTGAACTGTTTATGTTTTATATGAGCCAGTCTATAATGAAGATTGTTAACTTTAAATCATGTTTCCTTTGACATTTTGTTGTTGCAAATGTTCTTTAGGAGCTGTTTTTCCAAGTAAACAGGGTGAGCAAATGGGACTGTATAGTCAAATGTGATACAAATAAGGTCATATAGACTACAAAGTTCTCTTCTCCAAATAGCAGTAGTCTGCATGGGGTCAGGTAGATATATACGAAGCTACAGTAATCCCTTAAAATCTCATTTCTAGTGAACCTACAGAGATATTTGTTTTAGTTCAGATCATTCACTGCATCCACTGAAAAAAGCTGCAAGAAAAAGAGGTCAACTCTTCATTTTTCCCCAATTAGTTGTTTCAAACTAGGAAAACATGATCCTGCTTTTACTGTGACAATACAGTATCACTAAAGCTCCTGTCACTGATATAAAACCAAGATGTCTCATTCAGTGAACATAAATAATCACAAGCACAACTGCTACTGTTGCAAGAAAGCCTAAGGCAGAGTCTTAAAAGGACGAGGGATGCCGCTTTCTGAATAAATGCCTATCACAATGCTCAAATCTCTATTTTCTGAGCTTCAAAACTAAGTGAAGGACATATCATTGTTTAGTATAGATGAAAATTAGGCCAACAAGGGTCCAATATTACACAACAGTAATCCAGTCTTGCTGTCAAAGATTTCAACAGAAGATTTGTTAAGGATTTCAATGAAAGGAGGACTTGGACACTGTGGTCTGGAAACATGCTTTAGATGGGTGACAAATAAAAGGAGGGAGGGAGGGAGGGAGGGAGGCAGGCAGGCAGGCAGGAAGGAAGGCAGGAAGGAAGGAAGGAAGGAAGGAAAGAAGGCAGGAAGGAAAGAAGGAAGGAAGGAAGGAAAGAAGGAAGGAAGGAAAGAAAGAAGGAAGGAAGGAAGGAGCAAGCTAGCGCGCTTCCATGCCACACGTTTAACAAACAAATCATTGTGGTTCATGCTTTCCATCTGCAGTGCTGTAGAGATTTCAAACACTTTGTACTGACTCACCAGTATGTCACACTGACTCCTGTGCACACTCTGGCAGAGGTACACACTCTGCAAACAAGCATTACTTTGCAAGCAATTATGTAAGCCACCTGCTTTCAAGGAAAGTACCTGTAAAAGTACAAGCCAAGTAGCATCTACATTTTTCATGCCCACAGGTGCTTTTAGTGCAACTCGTGATTCCATGCCTGACTATGGCAGCCGTGTGGAGCAGAGTGTGCTCTCTGGACAACAAAGAAATGGTGCCTGTGGAGTGTCCCTTCCTGATCCTAGTAAGACACATCCCAGGGACACAGACAGTGGATTGCTCCAATACCTCTCATCAACTGCTAACTTCAGGTTACATTAAGTATTTGAAATTTATACCTCTCCTTTGTAACACTTCCAGAAAAGCAGCGAGGAATTTGTTGGGTGGTGTTACTCTTTTCTCTGGACCCAACAGTCTTGCCCTATTACATCTGCTGCAAAGCTCTACCTCACAGTCCATCATTTTACGCTTCTCACTTCTCTCTTGAGTTTTTTGGTTGCTTTTGTTCTTATATATATTGGTCACCTGAACAAAAAAAAAAGCCCCAGATCCTTCCAAACAAGCAGGTTTGAAAAAATAAAGGTTAGTGTGTTCTGTAAACAGAAGTCTTTTACTGTAGTTTACATTTATGGAAATGCTTACTGAACATCACACCTTCAAATTCATTATGAAGTTACTCCCCAAATTAAATACAAAAGAACAAAACAAAGTGACTGACTGCAATAGCTACAAACCTACAAAGTTAATTTTTAATTTTAGATGCTGTTTACAGGTTGATTAGCCCAAGAAAAAGGTGTCCTGACATTATCAAAGTTTTAAAAAACTGATAATTTTTTCCTAGATCAAAGTCAGAAGCTGAATGAATAATTTCTTTTGCACACAGAATTGCTGAATATGGAAGTCTGCTTCCACTTTAAATTAAAAAATAATAATGACTTTACCTAGAAAATTAGTAACCTACTAAAGTGACTCTGTAGCAGCTTCCTGAACTCTGCAGTAGCAAACCAACTGTCTTCAATCCAAATTTTTTCTCAGATAAATTAAGATATTTTCAGCAGTGAACAGCTCCTTATTCAAAATTTTTGTAAGAAAAACATACACTATCATATTTAGTTGTTAGAAATGCTCTCTTACAGACACAGGAAATGAATGGAATTTCAAAGGCTCATTGCTCAGAAAGTTTTACTTACTACCAACAGTCTGCTCAAAGCCTTATTAAGAAACCCTTTCACATACTGAACAGTCTGGAGTCTTTATGTTCTATTGCTCTGTCATGAAACTCTGTATAGAGGAAGAGTACTTTGCTTCACTACTAAATATTGCCCAACTATTTGTACAGCACCATTTGTACAATGTCATACTTGCTATCTTTGCCAAAGGAGGGCTGAACTGCCCCAAAAGACTTTACAAAACAGAAGAAAAAATTTTGTGATGTTCATGCAGGGGAAGACCATGAAGAAACCATTTATCAACCATATATGGACTCTGTTGCACTCCAGTGTGCTACAGCTTTCCATTAATAATCCAGTTTTGTCTTTGTAAGTGAGACTTAAGAATGAATGTGAATGCCAAAAGGTAGGACTTTCTGGATTAATGCAGAGCATAAGTTCCATTCATGGAAGAAAAAGGGAGAGATAAAGCAAAGGTATCAGTGGTAGAGCAGCTCATTGACTGGTACTACTAACACAGAGTGGACACATGTAGTCACTCCTATTGAGAAGACTCACAACTCCACCTAAAGATAGCATGGAAACTTAGCAACATAGACTTAGGTAAGCTAACTTATACAGTGGAAAAATAAATATTCATCCACTTCTCAGAAAAGATCAGCTCCGCTCTTCAAAGCATAAAAGTCTCCTTTCCACTTGTCCTTTTAGTAATTTCTCCATGTCTCCTGGTCTTCCTAGCTTCTGATGCTTCTGACATGATCACACCAGATTAGCCTTAAATTATTTTTTCAACCCCCTGCAGTGCTACAAGTTGGGCACAGAGTGGATGGAGAGCAGCCAGGCAGAAAGGGACCTGGGAGTTTGGATTGACAGGAAGCTGAACATGAGCCAGCAGTGTGCCCAGGTGGCCAAGAAGGCCAATGGCATCCTGGCCTGCATCAGGAACAGTGTGGCAGCAGGAGCAGGGAAGTGATCCTTCCCCTGTACTCAGCACTGGTGAGGCCACACCTGGAGTGCTGTGTCCAGTTCTGGGCCCTTCAGTTCAGGAAGGATATTGAGGTGCTGGAGAGGGTCCAGAGAAGGGCGAGGCTGGTGAAGGGACTTGAGCACAAGTCCTGTGAGGAGAGGCTGAGGGAGCTGGGATTGTTTAGTCTGGAGAAGAGGAGGCTCAGGGGTGACCTCATCACTCTCTACAGCTACCTGAGAGGAGGTTGTAGCCAGGTGGGGGGTTGGTCTCTTCTCCCAGGCAATCAGCAGCAGGACAAGAGAGCACAGGCTTAAGCTCTGTCAGGGGAGGTTTAAGTTGGATATTAGAAAGAAGTTCTTAACAGAGAGAGTGATCAGGTACTGGAATGGCCTGCCCAGAAAGGTGGTGGATTCACCATCCCTGGAGGTTTTTAAGATGAGGCTGGATGTAGCACTGAGTGCCATGATCTGGTAATCACAGTGGGGTCGGATCAAGGGTTGGACTTGATGCTCAGAGAGGTCTCTTCCAACCCAATTAATTCTATGATTCTATGACTAAATCCCACAGGCAATCTATTCAGTCCTCACCTATAAAGAAGAAACTTACTTCATCTGCAAGTCTTCATGTGATGAGAATTTGTGGAGAACATTTGTTTTGACTCCAGATTAACTATATGGGTTTGTAAAATTACTTACTGCAAAGTCACAGCCAGTGCTTTTCTTGATATCATCCACTGTCAGTCCTTCCCAGATTTCTATGAGAGTCAATCCCTTCTTCTTGTCCACATCAAACACTGCCTATCAAGATCAAAAAGCACACAATTATTTTTTTTATTATCAAAGCAACAAACAGGGATGTAAGCAGTAATACTGGACAAAATGGTGTGCTCAAGTGGGAAGCATTCCCTCAGTAACAAAAGATGTCAGTATCAATTGGTTTCACTGTTCACTTTTCTGACTGATCAATGAAGATTTCTGCTACATTTTTTTGAAACTGAAAGCATTTAAAATACTCTATGTGTTAGTTTTGTGGGAAAAATGTACAACTGTTCATTGCTGCAGGAAATGAGGACCATGCCTGCCACTCCCACCTGGTGAGAATGGGAGATCCAAAGGAAAAGGCTGAAACCTTCTTTGCTGCAAGACAATGCCCAGCAAGAGACCATGAAAGAAACAGGAAAAGAGAACATCTCCCCCATTGTTTTATTTCATTTTAAGGCCAGTAGTGAGCAGAGATCATCTTTGTCTGATTGTAAGTTTCTCCTACAGTTACTGCACACCCAGTACAAACACTAGTATTTTCAGAAGTTAGCAATGAACATTTATTGCTGTATTTCCAATAGAAAACCTGGGAGGAAGTGGCTGAAGGGGCAAAGGTCCTGATGTCTTCATAAGCTATACACTCCACTTCTGAGACTTACATGCACATCGCATAAAAACACCTGTAAAACAATGTGCACTTTAACAGTGCCTACCAGAGGGAGATACACAGGTTGCAAGCTAGTTGCCAGGGAAACCATAAGGTTTAAAGTAATTTTCCTTAAAAATAAAAATTCACTAGCAAAAGACCAGTGAAGATTGAACCTGAAATAAAATTGGAGTCTTAAGCTCAAAACACAAGTGTACTGAAGTCTTAGCTGTCCTCTGGGCACGTGAGACCGCTTTATGGGACTAAAAAAGGACAGCTCCTCTAAGTCTTAAAGGAGAAGCTGGGCATAAAGGAAAATGAACACTACGATGCTACTGTGGAAACCGAATTTGCAATACTATCTAAATGCTGTTGTACATTTGTGTCATCTCCTAATAAAGACACAAGATCTGGCAAGTGATGAATCTTAAGAGAAATTTTGCTTTTTTGTTGTTTTCTATTAACCTTTGCTACCTCTCTTTTCTTTTTCCTTACATTTGTATGTGGCCAGTGAGTAGAGGACTGGAAAAACTTCCCCATTTTAATTTATTTTTCCTTACTTTGTGAAGAAAAATCCTTTAAATATAGCAATGTATCACTGGGAGAAAGCAAATTCTACATCAGCACCTTTGATGCATTCTACTTGGCATGACAGATGGCTCACAGAGGGACTACTCTACATCCTTAAAAATGTAAACACTGATAATAAAAGGAGTACGATTTTAGCAAAAACCTTTAGTCCCTTATCCTTTGCTGTAAAGATCCACTAATGTATTTTGAGCAGCAGCAATATCAGATGCTCATACATACTTGCACTGGAGAATAAATTGCTTCACAAACAGAATCAAGTAAGAACAAAAGACTTAAAGCTCTGCTACAGCAGCAGCTATATCTAAAACAGTCCATAGTATACACTGAGGAAGATGCCAATTGTCTAACCTATATGTGCTCTGCTGGTGTAACACCCCCCAAACCAACCAACCAAACAAAACCCCAAACCAAACAAAAACCACAAAACAAACAAACAACAACAAAAGCACAAAAACACCACCCCAAGCCGTGATTACAGCTGCACTTGAAGATTTCATTTTTACTAAGCTTTACTACTTTCATTTGGGATGGAGGAGGAATTTGTTAGCAAGAATTCAAGAAAAGTACTTTACCTTCTCTGTAATGATGCGGTCTACACATTGTTTCCCAGTAAGTGGCAAGCTGCATTTTTCCAAGATTTTATGGACATTGCCCTGTGTTTAACAATATAGAGGCAAGCAAAAATTTTCAAAACCAACACAGCTTACTCAGAATTCAAATACATACATGAAAATCACACCTGTAGTCAATCAGTGTTACTGAAACATTCAATTCAATTCAGAACACTCTTTTAATTCACTTCTATGGCAGATTACAATTCTGGCAATTTGGGACAGTTATTACTTAAATCCTACATAGAGGAAGATGACCAATAAGAATCTTACTGTACCACTGAGTGGACTCCTGAGTTTAGAAGTTCTGCATACTGCTGCTTAATAATCTGCCCTTCCTGCTGCAATATGAGGACAAGAAATACATGGGACCTCACTGATGACACATGAAAGACAAAAATTAGGGAAAAACATTATGGGAAACACATTTCTCTGTCTTATACTTTATCACAAACAATATGAGCAGAATCAGCCATATATGAGGCATTTCAAACCCCCAGGGCTCAAGCACAAAGTTATGCTTTGAAAATAGTAAATACAGGTTCTTTACCCACACTGAATTCCCATTCCCTCTATCTCTTCCAGGAAAAGTCCAAAAGCAGGCTGAGAGATGAGTGCAATATGCTCATCCTCAAGTGTTGGTTGAAGTTACATTATCTCTATTTTAGACAGAACAAATCAGCATGTAGTAGAAAAGAATGTATATATAGAAAACATGAATTACTTAAAAGCAACTTCTTTTCAGGGTCATCAAATGCCAGCTAACCTAAATCCTGGGAAGAATATTACCTCATGAGAAGACATAGTTTCTGATATGAAGCTGGCTAGGAAATGTTTGGGGCTTTTTGGGGTGATGCCCTCATCTTTTTAAATTTCTTTTTTTTTCTTTTTTTTTTCTTCCTTCTTTTAGTTAAGAGTTCACAAATGGCTTTAGAACCTACTAAATTAATGTAAGCTTCAAGAGCTCTGAATGGATATAAAAAAGATGGATTGCTACATTTTTATCAGTATTTGTAAGTGTTTTACAGAGGTAGCATTAAGTGCACATTTCTCCCATTATCCCATGCTTTTATTTTTTCTCTAATTACCAATTTTCAGTTACACTGAATATCAATTTTCAGTTCAGAACTCTCAGAGTGTAACATGTCTCATTTAACCCTCTAAATGCAATACTCAAAAAATTTACCATCATCAGCTTGCCTTAAGGCTTAATATAAACTTGGGAACCACCTTGCAGCCAGTTTGACTCCTGAGTGAAAACAAGATAAGCAACCTATGCTTTTTAATACATATTTTTTTTCTGTGAAGAACTATTTCTTCATTCTAGTTACTTTCAATTGACCTACTTATATCCTGCCCATCTTGTGGACATTCTTACGCACTTGGTCTAAGAGCCAAGACTAATCTGTGCTATTTGTAATATCTTCAGTAACATATCAGATACGCTTCTCGGCCCTATGAAATGAAGTTATCTCGTTCTGGGACCTAACTGAGATTTAAATGCATGGACTTGCACAGGTGGCAGTTTCAATGGCTCCTGTGTCCCTGACAACTGATACATTTGAGCTTCTTAACACTTGAGCTGAAGATAATTGTATTACCAGTTGGCTCTGAAGATGACATGCATTTCCTGATCTTTTCGAAGGCTGGATTCAATGATCTTAGAGGCCTTTTCCAACCTAAATGATTCTATGACTTTTGGAAGACATCCATCAGGCAGGATGTAAGAATAGCAATCTGAATGGAATGGTTTTTTACCATCTGAATTTATACAGGATTTGTTCAGATAAAGGAAAAGACTGTTGCACAGATACAAAAAGCCTTAAGATGTTCCAGTCTCCTTTAACTAAAAAAATTCTGTTGCTGAAGAACAAAAATGTCCTTAATCTTCCACAACACAGTATGAAAAAGGAGTTTTCAATTCATTGCTCCATGTTTCAGTCATGTCCAAATCAAGTGCTTAGTGTAGACAACTCTTTTCACAACATGGAACAATTACCAGCCATTACTTTACTATGTTTTGCAAAACATGTCAATGATGGTATAGGGTAAGAACTTGACTTTTAATTCTCTCAGGTAGTATTTACCAGATCAGACATGGATGCACAGTGACTGTCTAGACATTAAATAACAGCCTTCTATTCTATTATTTTTCTTCTTCGTGATTATAAACAAAGAGCAAGTTTAGCAAAACATAAATTAAAAAAGAGGTTAATGAATTAGACTTCAGGTCCATTTGCCAAGTGTCTCACAGTGGCCTAAGAATATGGAGCAAAAATTGGAATACCCTTCTACAGATATGCCCTCCTGGTTCCTGATATGCTGTGATGTACAGATTTTCTGACGCAGAGACTGCTTCTGGGCAATGCTATTTGCCACAGATGAACTCAACCTCATAAAGCAGTTTAGTCCCTTTCTTATAGGCTTAATTATTGGAGATGTTGTATTATTCGGCTGATCATCCACAACTTTGTTACCTGGCTGTGAAAAGTGTTTCTTCTTGTTTCAACCATGCAGGTAGCCAATTTCAGTTAGGTATCCCTACTTGCTTTATAAGACAGTGACAAATCCTTCTGCATCCACCTTCTCCACACCCTCATTATTTTGTATATTTATTTGTCACCCCTCCTCAATAGTGTTTATTAAGCTGAAGTCTTCTACAAAGCTCATTTCATGTTCTCTCATCCAACTTCTGTGTCTTTTGTTTTTCAATACATGTCCAAATTTAGGTAATTAAAAATGTAATTAATTTGGGGTTGAATGTATTTATTTGTATTTGTAATATACTACATATCAGACTTGAAAAAGAGGAAAATTCTTTGAGTATGAGTGTTAAGACAGACACTAGTTTCATCCTCAAAATTAACTGTAAATCATATTTTGCCTGTGCTGCAAGGACTCAGCCTATTTCTATGTTAAACACTGCAGTGTCTGTAATGAAAAGAGAAGGGTTATTAAACTCTTGGAAAAATTTAATGTTTAACAAGCCATTACTACTGTACAAAAAAAATTTGAAAAGGATGAAAAGATCTTTCACAAGATCACAAATGAGACAAAACTGCGTGCAAAACTACCTATTGCAGCAACTCTTGAACATGTCCATTGAAGGTACTGCCTATATTCTATGTTTTCCACTGTATTTTCATCCATCAAATCTTGACTGCTGTTAATATACAGCAAACTTTGGAATCTGATACTGGATTTCTTATTTATTGGGAGAGTAAGATGACAAAATTGTGCCTTTTACTCAAAAGCCAGCAGACAAGAGAGTGTCTCAGTACATGCAGACCGTTTCTTTCACTCAGTAGCACACTGGGCTTCAAGCAGGATGAAAGATTGTTCCTCTGATGCATAGATTCAGATGCAGTAAGTTTGCAAGAAAATCTTTGGTCTCAAAAATTAAAAAGCAGTCACACCCAACATAAGGCTTCTGACTTTCGGAGCTGGCCTCACGGGTTCTACATTTGCTTGTCTATTAAAGAAAAAAAACCCGCACCTGAAAACTTTAACAGCAGTTTTTGATCTTTAAACATGAGATTTCTGTTTTTCACCATCTTAACTTCTGAGGAAACAAGAAGCATTAGTGTGAAGATCCCAAAAAGAGACTAGGTAAGAGGAAAGAGTGCCATTTTAAAAAAAGAATAAAATAAAAATAATGCATAGAGTTTAGTTTGGCAATGCCTTCTCGCAAAAGCAGAAGAAATAATTTATGAAAGCCTGTAACTGGCTCTCCTGAAATGCACAGCAGGCACACCATGCACACCAGTCCCCAAAGTAGGTATGTGTATGCAAAAAAAAATGATTCCATGCCTAGGTTGTTTGTAACAGTGAACCTATCTGTGCTTTTATCTTTTCAGGTTTCAGTACTCTCACAGAGAAAAAAACCCAACAAACAATTTCCGAACACTGTTTTGAAAGAACATTCCAGTAATAGCATCTCTAAAGAGAAAAACTGGCTTGAATAATTACATCGTGCCTGGACTCTGAGCCTTAACCAAATTCCACAGTAAGTAGAAATTTAGGATAAATATTTATTCAGATCACATTAATACCTGAAGTGTGTGTACGAGCAAATAGATAACTACATATGATCACAGCTTAGTATAAACTGTGAAACTACTACATTTTTCAGGGGTTTTTTTTAAGTGAAAATTAAATCTTTGATTCTCATTCAAAATCACACAATTGCTAATATACTTACTTCCATATTTACGTATTTGCTATAGTTTACCATGCAAATTCCTTATGATGGCCTATATGCATTCTGGCAAGGGTATTATTTTAAACAATACAGATTAATTCTTGTTGCAGACATACAACAAATTTGGAATACAGGAAATCCAGAAATTAAATTAAAACGAAATTTTTAAACATTCCGTATAGAGATTTTTGCCCTTCAGTATAATTTTCTTGTATTTTGCACAGTCCCATTTTAGAAGATTCAAATGAAAAGTTTCATATCATCTTTTGTGGGGGACTGCTTATATCTATTGCACCCACAAAGAAGTCTCTAGATTAACCACTAACACATAATGATGTAAGGCAGCCTGTATCTCATCATGCCAAAAAGATTCTGTTCTATTAAGCTGTCAGTACCAATTTGACTGGCAACTTCAAAGGTAAATACCTTTCCATCATAACAAGTATTTAGCCACGGGGAACCTCATTTTTCAGATTATTCCAAGGCAAAGAGTAGGGTAGCATCTACTGTAGCTTTAGCAATTGCCACCCCCATTAAATTTGCATGAAGTAGCTAAAAAAATGTGTGCAGCTTTTAAACACCAAGTTAATATTTCATTTTTTTTCCCATGGTGAATGATTCACTTACAAGAAAAAAAGGAACCATCCTAACCTAGCCCTAACCTTGCACTACCATAATAACTAACAGCAAAACTATCAAATCCTCACAAAGGAGCAGAATTAATATGTCTTTCTTCACTTTCTTTTTCTTTCTTTTTTTTTTTTTTTTTAATAGCACAAAACACTCATTTAGAAAGAAGTGTCAGAGCCTTACCTTGGCTGAGTGTTCCATGGTGACGACAACTTTGGTCTGTGCGCTGGATACCAGGTCCATGGCACCCCCCATTCCTTTCACCATCTTACCCTAAAATTAAATTTTAATGGAAATGTAACATTTTTATTATGAAAAAAAACCACAAAAAATCAAACCAAACCAACCAACCAACCCAAACCAAACCAAAAACATCGTCTGCAGTGACAGCACAACATTGTCACTTTTTCCTGCATTGAAAAGCCCACTAATTTCATAACCACTGTATTCAAACACCAACAGAGTTTCAGCAGAGTGAAAACAGCTGTGCCTTTCTTGGGTCTATATAATGTGAGTAGGAGAAGAATGATGAGTATAATAAGGAGACCCACTGCCATGTCTGGTGCCCTGGGGTGTAACCAAAATCTGAGTAGTACTGCTGGCTTAATGGGACTCTGACATTGAGGAGCAATGAATTTAGTTCCAATGGCTCTGCCACTAGAAAAGCAAAGTGTTCATCCTCCTGTTGATAAAAATGCCATTACTTTCTCTAAAGAAATCTCGATTTATGAAGTCTAGTAACAAGAACATCTGAGCACTATCCACCTGCCAGTTTAGAAAGTCACTTGCCAGTTTAGAAAGCCATGCCTTGCATCACTGAATCAGCACAAACCAATGTTTCAATCTATTCCAGATGTCTGTAGAGGTCATTTCAGAACATGGGAAAGCAAATAAATAAACGTGGTTCAGTAATCACTTGCATTTGTACCTCAAACTATGCAACGCTTTCAGCCTCTGGACTCATTCTGCTCTCAAAGAGTGTCAGAACTGCACCTGTTATGACAGCAGCTGTCTTATGGCTTGGTGTTCAGCTACCTTTACTTTCACTTTCTGCAATGCTAGAGCATTCAATCTCTGCCTGCTTCCATCACCTTAAACAGGATTCACCTGATCTTAGAACAGATGCAGACTTGGCACACTTCTGACAGCAAATGACCACAGGTACAAAGTTCTATCAGCATGAACAGAGTAATCATTTTTGAACAAGCACTAGACCCAATAATCAAAGATGGCAACAACCTCATATACAATCCAGAATTGCTGAGGAAGGCAGAAAGGGGAGTGAAACATCACGATAGGAGAGGTTAGTAGGAAACACAATGCAAGGAGGCAACAAAGTGAAGGGCTTTGAGAGAAGCTGTATTATAACTGAGCACTTGGTCTCTTCAGCCTGGAGGAGACTGAGGGGAAACATAATCACAGTCTACAACTTCCTCGTGAGAGGAAGTGCAGGGGCAGACACTGATCTCTCTGGCAAGCAGTGACAGGACCTGTGGGAATTGCCTGAAGTTGTGTCAAGGAAGATTTAGTTTGGATACGAGGAAAACATTCTTCACCCAGCAGGTGGCTGGGCACTGGAACAGGCTCCCCAAGGAAGTGGTCACAGCACCAAGCCTGACAAAGTTCAAGAAGTGTTTAGATAATTATCTTGGGTACATGGTGTGATTTTTAGGACTGTCCCATGAAGGGTCAGGAGTTGGACTCCAGGATCCTTGAGGGTCCCTTCCAATTCAGAATATTCTCTGTGATTCTGTGAATTCTATAGATTAAAATAATTTCTGTCAAATGTTTTGCATTTGCTCACTTTTGACTGATTATATGGACAGTAATACAAAGTATGCTGTTTTATATACAAAACCTAAAAGTTTATGGTTAAATGACTGGAAAACTTCCTGGTATAAAGCTTTTCTCTAATACTTCCTTTTCCCAGCTATGTGATTCAGTACCTTACAAGAATCAGTGCCTATGGTCCATAATAAAAAACATATGGAAGAGACTTGTCTCATTAAACTGCCAAGCCAGCAACTTATTAGTCTGTTGATCATTATGGTGTCTTGATTGTAACAAAGGGAATATTCACCATTGCCCCCCCCTTCTTCCATCCCTCAAAATAATATTTTCCTACTGTTTGCAGAGAGGAGAATATATCTATAAAAAATCCCTTTGGAATTGCTCTGGCCAGACTAGTATTTAATATTAATCACATTAATTATCATGACTATTAAATATTTCTTTGCAAATACGAATGTATCTCTGTCCTTAACTTCCTGGTACTGCTCATATCATTCTCCATCCTACCTGGAAGTACAGAGCTCTTAGAGAGACTGCAGTGACCTCTCACCTACCTGCCAGAGGCTCACTGACAAGATAATGCAGAAGCTGAAGATGACATATTATCTCCCCAGTAACTCACAACATGTTTGCATTGAGGATTATGCTATCAATGCGCCTGTCCTGACAATGCCATTAGTTCATTTTCCAGGCCTTTTAGTTCTATTAACTAGTGAAAAGCTGCAGCAACAAGTAAATACCCAAAGAACCAAGTGCTGATGAAGGTCAACAACAAATCTACTGCTGGAGAAGTCATACAGGACTGAGAGAAGAGACATCATCCTTTTGTGTATACAGAAACAGGAAAATGCAAGTCAAAGAGAGGGAGCTTCATCTGCTCCTGCTTTTTAGGAAAACATATTCATCATTATAGGGTGGTGCCTGGTGAAGTAAATCAATTAAGCACTAAATGCAACCAGCCAAGTAATTACATGCTCTTATGTTAAGGAATATCCAAAGCAGAAGAGCCTTACATTGCCCTCAGGGCATCTGCCAAACTGCCACAACTTGCATTTTCCCCCACACCATACTGGCCAGCTGCACCATAAATTTGAATTAAAATATTTGAGACTAAAAGGTGATTCCAAAAAGACACTTTGCCCCTTTCTGACCCCGCTCTCTTCATTTATTTATTTAAGATGATTTTTGTTAGTACCCAATTGCATTGGTGCTGCTAATTTAAGAAACCAGAAGCAAAGGCTTAGAGCAGTGGTAGAGCATTAGCAATTTGAAACACTTTTATAAAACCCACTTCACCAGCAAGAGCTTGAAGTGAAAAGGATTTTTGAATTAATCATGTGGCTCTGGGGAGGTCACATTTTGGCAATATTATACAGAGAGTTAGGTAGAGGACACAAGCCGACAATTTCCTTGCAGGCTCTCAGTTACAACAAAAGGTGGGAATGCTGCTTTTCCTACTCTGCTTTCATCAGCACTTCTTGCTAAGTCTCAGTCCAAATAAGACATGGAAATTTTGGACCTGATAGATTTTTCTTTTGTAATTGAGATGATCAACTCTTCTGCTTCTTCACCATCATAAATCCACACAAAATTATTGTAATTTCTTATAACACCTACTTGTAAGAAATTGTTATTGTGGTGCTGGGGCATCTTTAAGAAAATATGAGAGAAGGGTACATACTTTCTCGTTTAACATCTTCATATCTGAACATCATTTGAGTGGTCAAAATACAACATTAAAGAGCTCGAGGAATTAATTTAGCCTAACAGTAATTCCTAAACAGAAACCTTCCTATTCATTTGGTCACACGTGGCACACAAGACAACCTGGTATTCCAGAGGAAATTTGTGAGTACTCCAGTGTGGGTGAGACAATCAAGATATTTTTCAGGAGAACGTGAAGTTTTTCCGAAGCAGTATTTCAAGCAAGCTAGAAAGATGCCATAGCTAGCAGGAAACGATTTATAAGAACATCCAAAGAGACTAAAAAGAGGTAGCTGAGAGAAAAGAGGAAAACTCAGGAGCCTTCCAATACTACTTAGGTCTTGAATCCACACTGCTGTCTTAAATATTTCCTCTATAATCTCCAGGGAATACAGATCTTTCTTCCTTAATTGAATTTTATAGCTACTCCCAACATCATAGGATATAATGCACCTGAACTGTTCTGGTTAAGTTAAAGTAACAATCTTTTGAGACAAACACATATCACATCAACAGTACAGCAAAGCAGATGCTTGATGTGTTCAAGAAACAGTGAAAACTTACCAGTGGTAAAAACAGCTAAGAATGCATCTTGAGTAATTTCACTTAAAACTGAGTATCAAAGGACAGGCAAGGTGAAAATGTATACCCGTTTGGAAAGGAACTGAGCCATTTCCCTGTTAAGAGTCCTTGCCAATGTTGCCAGCAGCCCTATTACTGTATTAAACAAACAGCATTTAGTCTGCAATTTCTCTTTCCTTCTGTCAGATAAGAGAATACATGTGCCTCACACTATGCCCAAAGTTAGTGAAACTGCTATTACAAAAAGTCTTACAGAAGATAACCAATGCTTCTAGTTTAACCTGCAGGCTTCTCAATCAATCTTAATTTTCACACATCCCCCTGAAGACCTTGAACAAGCTACCAAGAATGAGAGAGTAAAGAACTTAAAGATGCCAGCATTGTGTCTGACAGCCACAGACACAAACTAGGTGGCAGATACAGAATTTATTGCCAGACACAGCTTCCTTATGAAAGGAAATGACTGTATTGTGTGAGGGACAGACACTAAAATTCAGAGCAACTGGAACAGTACAAACTCCACAGAAAAAAGCAGAAATGAAGGTAATGCAGTGGACACAAGACACTGCCATCATGACCACAGCTGTGCTAACGCCGCAGTCAAAAGTATGAACTTAAGACCCCTCCAAAGGTTTCTGCTCTGCCCCTCTCTGCAGTGGTGTGTAGGCACTACTAAGACACATCAGTCCCACAGCTGTCCCTCTCTGTATAGGTACCATCTGCCTTTACACATGTGCCAGCATCAAATGACACACACAGCACAGGCAGGCAGGTCATCAGAGCCACATACACCTATTCTAACAAAAATATCTCGTCAATTGTAGGGTTCCATGTGGTTGATGGGTTTGTTTGTTGGGTGGGTGCTGCATATTTGTTCAAACCTCCATGTTGTACAAAAAAAGATACCGATCAGAAGGTAATATTAAAAAAATACGTATGCATATATCTACTGTAATTTCATAAAAATGTAGATAACAATCTTCTGCCTGTTGCTAAGTCCTGTCCCATGTTGAAAGGAGAGGTATGTTTGTAGTTGATTCTAAAATGAAAGCCACAACTTCCAGATTTCACTTTCCATTTTTTCAGTGAAAAAGACCGGATGATGATTGCACCAAAAAATATGGATAAAGCTCAAGATTAAGTGTTCTGAACTACAATTCTTGTCCTATTTTCCACTGATTTTATGTCCTTATTTG